GTCTCCAGATGCGCACCCAAAGCGCCGACCCACGAGCCGAGGGTCTTTACCAGCTGGCCTCCAGCGACCTTCAACGTCTTGGCATCCTCACTCAAGGCAGCTGTCACGCATTTTGGGGTGTGGAGGGGGCCAGGTGGTGGTGGCGGCTTGGCTGTCGTGGTGTCTGTGGTGGTTGAGCGGGCGGTAAGGCTCTGTCTTGGCGACGGGCGGTCGACGAACCTCACTGTGGGCGATGAGTTGGTCTTGTGTTGTTGGCTGCTGCTGAGACTGCCGTGCTGTAGGGACACCGAACACGGTATCCGGCCGCTGGCATCGAGCCGCTCGAGGATGTGGGCTTGGAGAGTGGCGCAGAGGGCTGCCGGCCATGGTTCCATCCTCTCATGGTTATCAGCAGAAGGGGGCGGCCCGTCTTCAGCCTGCCTCTGTGTCAGCTCCCCCAGGTCGAAGATGCCTTCCCACTCCACCCGTGACAGCCCTCGCCCCTCACCACTACCACTAGCACCACCGTCACCCAACCACTCCATCCGGTCAGCCTCCCGCTCGAAGGCCCACACATCATCACCGCCGTCTCCTCCTTGCTCGCGCAGATGCAGTCGTGGGCTCTCATGCGGCTGGTGGGCTCTCGCCTCATCCGGCCGGACGATCCTTGGCAAGACGGGCCATGACGCCGACGTGTCGCTGGTCGTCTCGGTCTGGCGACGGGGGAGTGGGAGGCCGTTCAACTCCTCGGCGAGCGCACGGATGAAGAAAGGCATCGAGAAGAGAAGGAACTCCATGTAGATGGTCAGCTGGGCCACACACGAGAGGTGCTCCGAGGCCGTCACCCCACCCGCGGCTATCCTCCTCGCCGTCTCGCGCGCATATCCCATGACACGCGGCATCAGAGCGCTGGCAACGAAAGAAGCAGGGAGCTTCATTCTCTGCCACTTCCGCACTATGACGGCCCGCAATGCGGCGGCCGTCTCGCCCGTGGGCTCCCTCAGGTACTGCACCATCAGATCGAGCAGCACTTCTAGCATGGCCTCGCTGCCGTCGGGGTCGTCAAGCGGGTCAAACACCACCAGCAGCCGCGCCAATGCCGTCAGAGCAGCCGCACGCACCTCCACCGCGGGATCGGCGGCGAGCACTTGCACTAGTGGGATGAGCACCCCACGCACAGAGCGGGCAGAGCAGAACCGCCCCAGCAGGCCGACGGCGTCAGCAACCAGCTGCCGACGGGAAGCGGAGGCGTGCCGTCTCTCGTCGGCGAGAACGGTTAGAGCCTCTGTCTCGCCTTCAGGGGCCGAGTGCCATGCCGACGCGATGTGGACGAGCGCTCGGAGGATGGCCAGCCGCTGGTCGGGTGTGGGGGTGGCTTGGGAGGGGGAGGGGACGACTGGAGAGGGGAGCAGCCGAATGAGATGGCGAAGGAAGGTCAGCCGAGCTGACGGGGAGGAGTGGAGCCTATAGCCGGCAACCAGCAGTGGCACAAGCGCAGCACGCCTGAGGGAACAAACAAATGACATACATAGAAACGGACTTACAGGACAGAGAGTGACATTGGCTGTGTCTGACCTCGGGAGCTGACCTCGGTATGAGGACGAATGGGGCGATGTTGGGAAGGCACTGCGCCAGCAGCTCAATCAGCCGCTCCTCATCCCTCTCCGTCACCCTCAGGTCGCCCCGCATCAGCGGGGGAGCAGGCAGGTCCAGCACCACCTCTCCCTCCACCCCATCCCGCAGCGTCGACTCGCCGCTCGTCTTGGACGACTCGGCGTTCTCGCCTTCCAGCGATGTGCGCAGCGGCTCCCCCCTGCTCTCCCTCACCTCGACCAGCTGACCCTTCAGCCGCTCATTCTCGCGCCGCAGCTCCTCCTGCACACGCAGCGCGTGACACAGGTCGGCGACTGGGTGGGCCTTGGTATCGACAGGGCGGACGAGTCGCTCCAGGTGAAGGTGGGCGGAGGGGTGTCTTATTACTGGCTGTGCCGTGCCGGTTTCGTCGCTGAAGGTGACGGCCGAGTGCTTGTAGCCAGAGCGGTGCAGGTAGTCCCACACGAGGCCGTTGAGGCTGTCGCGGTCCGCGTCAGAGAAATGCTGCGTCACAGCCTCGCCCGTCTGATCACTCCTTTCCTCCCCATCCACCTCGACAGCTTCAGCACCGGTCGGTTTGCCGTCCGTGTGAGTGAGGTCGGTCCTCTGCTGCTTGAGCATCATTTGGCTGAGTCGCATCTTGGTCACCTCCAGCTCCTCCTTGGCAATCCGCACCTCATACTCGAGCAGCGCCACTCGCTGCTCCGCTGAACGGTTGGTGCCCGCGCGAGACGATGACCGCCGGTCCGATGCTGAGGAAGCAGAAGGTGCATGCAGCGCCTTGCCGGCGGCAACGAACGCATCGCTGCCCCGCTGTAGGCATGGGTCTTCCTCCTTCGTGTCGTCGATGTTTGCTGGGAAGCACTGTGCGTCGAAGAATGAAGTGAGCTGCGCAGGGACGGCCTGGCCTGTTTCAGTCAGCTCCTGCTTCAGCTGATGCCATCCACACAGACGCACACAGACACAGACACACACACACTCACACAGACTGCGGCTTCTTCCTACATTGCCTACATCCATGAGCATCCATCATACCTCGAGTGCCGTCAGTAGCAATCCCCGCTCCAGCAGGTACCCCGCCGCCGCCTCAAGGCCACTCGTCGGTGCAGCTGATGCCATGTTTGACGAGAAACGATCTCGGTCAGACCATCCCTCCTTTTGTCAAAGTATCAGCGAATGCATCCTCAGGTTATTCGCTTTCACAGAAGCATTGGCGACCAGCATGTCAGGATTGCCAGCTTGGCAAGACGAACCACTGCGAGCTTGTGAGCTAGGGTAGATTGCTGTGTAACGGAGAGAGAGAGGTGGAAGAGGAGAAGATAAGGAAAGAGAAGGAAAGCATTCTGAGGAGACACGATCTTATCAGCCATCACCGAAGTGAGATCTGTGTTGACCACTCTTCATGGTGCCATACATGGATAAAAACAACTTTGACTGACTGGCCAGTCCATCGGTCTTACTAAGGTAAAAGCAAGTCCATCGGTCTTACTAAGGTAAAAGCACTCTTACTCTGGGACTTACCGCCCAGCAGATCCTCTATTCAGCTAACTACAGGAAAGGTCCTCACTGTCGGGGTCGAGTTGATGGTGTATCTGTGATGGTGAAGAGCGGAGATGGTGGGCATGATGGACGACGACCTGGTGATGTGGACGTGCTGACGACGAGGAGCTGTTCGACACATGTTACTCTTTCCCCTTCCCTCTACCTTCTTGCTTTGCTGCATCGGGATGGGCACGACAAGGAGCAGCTCGACACGACAGCGAATGACCAGCACGTCATGACCGAACAAGCAGAGCCGAGAAGAGAAGTGGAGAAGATGCAGAGACGAGAAGAGGAGTGAAGAAGCAGAAACGAGAAGAGGAGCGTGTCTGTCTTTACACGACGTGATGGCTGACTATGTCTGTGCGTCACAGTGAATGAATGGGGATGGGAGAGGTTGTGCGTTGGTGTTCTTCCCTCTCCTCTCAGGAGCTTTTCCTCTCAGGGCGACCCTGAGACGGGGCGCACCATTGTGGATGTAGTGGCCCAAGTATGTTTGCGGTCTGCACGTAGTAATTGGACACATGACGCATGGTGCTCTCGGCTGTGTGGGTGCCCCACCCAACAGAGGGGGTGCACACTGGCATGTACGGGCGAGAGGAGGTCCTTCTCTGCTCCCCTCGTGGCCGGATACGCTGGACTGTTCACTGACTGGTGCGCCGTAAGCGACAATGGAGTCATCATGACATGATGTGCAGGTATTTGGGCGTATACTGATAATGGCTCATTCCCTCCACCAGCCGCTCACACATTTGTACGTACGTGGCTACTGGCTTGACGAAAAACAAGGCATGTGCTCGAAAAAGATAGAAGCTCAGGGAGCCATACATGAGCTCTAGCGTATTATGCAGGACATATCACCCAAGGCCTTGTGGCTTGTGGCTTAGCTCTCTTTGTACTGCAGTGGACACCATGTCGTAAGCCACTGCACTGTCTCCTAGCTGCGATGATTGAAACGGCTGTCCTGAGCGACGAGTCATGGGGCCCGACGAAAATGACAAATATAGTGGGTTCGCTCGCGGCGAGCCTTCATCGACGTCATCTGGGACCAGGTGGCTGATGCCTTCGATGCTAAGAGTGTGCCGGATGTACTGCTTCAGCAAGCCCTTCCGTACGTGCCCGCGTAATGTGCATTGAGGTCACGTACTGTGCCAGAGCCCTCGGTAAGTCATCTTACAGCCATTACAACCACGAGACGGGGGTGAGGTGAGGTGACGAGAGATGTTGGCATACCTCTTGTCTGCCTGCTTCTGTGAGCGCCTTCTTCGCTTTCTTGAAGGCCCCATAGAGGCCTTGCCAGCCACCAGAGTCCTCGGCCAATATGCCTTCATCCTTCATGCGCTGCTCGTACAAACGCTGACGCATTACCAGCTCATCGACGACATAACTCAAATTCAGCTGCACACAATAAAACACACATCAACCCCGACACATTATTTCTCGGTTGTGGAACCTGCAGGTCATTGAGTGGAATGCCTGGCGATATGGATGATGACAGAGTAGACCTGCACACGCCACGAACCAGTCACAAATTCGCACAATCAAGGATGGGCCTGCATTCTTAGTTGATGTACTCGTCGGCGACGTCAATGGCTATGCTTTCCTTGGCACTCGCGCTTTCGGAGTCCTTTGTGGGTACATTACTCAGATATGTGGGCTCTGTACAGCAGAGAGTGGCAGTAGTGTAGTGGCAGTAGTGTACAGAAAGTTGCATCATTCATTCACCCTTCTTGAGGAACTCCTTGTGCTCAGTAAGGCAGGGACAGACAAGTGCACGCGACAAGTCGGCAGACTGCATGCAATGGAGGCTCTGCAAACACACAAATAAGCAGACTGACTGCACGTGTCAAGGTCTTACTTACCGTATTAGCCGTATCATCTGGTCGCGAAAGATGGACAAGCACGTGCTCATTTCGACGCGTACTGATGACCTTCATGCGCAGTGCTTGAGTCAGAGAGGCATGAGTCCGTAGAAAATCCACACTGAGACGAAGAAAGGGACAGATTCACACACAAAAAGAAATCCACATTCCAGCCAAGCCAGGACAAATGACCCTAAGACACGATGCCCCCTTTTGTGTTTACAAGTCACTGGGGATCTGCTTCATTTGCAGTACTTGCACGGCCTCCTCCAATGCAGCGCATGTCATCTGCACGGCTGCAATCCCCTTGCGCACAGCTGGTCGACCGCCAAACAGAGAACAGCTGGTCGCCGTGTTCCCTGCGTCGTCAGCACGGTTGATGGCTTCAGCAAGAGAGTCCACAAGTGACAGCTGTGCGGTTCGCCAATCGTACGAGACAGATGGAAGGAGCTTCCGTTGCTTCTCTTCACGATGCACAAGCCACGACACGCAATCAACGAACCATTCCAGCCATGCTGACACAAGAGAATAGCAACAGCAGGTTGAAATTCGAGTGTCTGCAGGATTGGGCTACCCCTGTGTTTTCGGCGCATGCTCCACCGCATAACGAAATCCGATCTGGAGAGGCCATGTTTGCAAACATGCACCACTAGAATGATGTAGTGCGCCAGATTCGCCAGCATTACAAAGATGATGAGCGCAGTGGTCACGATATCGTTGACGTCTCGCACCATGACCAGCATGATCAAATACACCGAGACGATCCACAGGATCAGACCTCTCACCTCGGTGCGATTAAGAATATCCTGATTTAGAGGTGAACAGAGGTGAGAGAGCCTAACAGAGGTGACAACTCTGTGCACTCTCACCATGTTACGACTGTCAAACTGTCTGACGATGAGCTGCAGAGTGAGACAAGCCATTCCAAGTCCAATCCAGCCCAGCAGCTGAAATCTCGGACTACCAACAGCTAGCTGCGCTATTAACAGCACCAGCACACGTCTACAGAAAGAAGAGGTATCAAAAAACGTCAGCCCGCGTGCCCTTTCTTGTCTCCTTGAGTCAGATCGTGCTCACCTGGCCGCCAAGACCGCATCCCAGTAGTAAAGCGATTTACGGTACGCCACGTAGAGGAAACCTGCCCTCTGTCGCATCTCTGAAGCCAGCAACTGATCTTGGAATCTCCAGAGCAGCCAGACGCCAGCTATTACTGGCATAAAAGTCCATATGGCCAAGCCAGCTAGCGAGATCCAAAGGAAGGGCGCATGATCAGCCGAGCCAAAGCCGCAAAGAACATCCGAGCCGAGATCTAGACGACCGCGCATCTGATCTGATGGATTAGTCGAGAGAAACGTCGCCTGTTTATCGGCTGATCGACGGATGACAGGTTCTTCAACGTATGGATAAGGCCGACATCGAAGCAGCACCAGCAGATTCCGAGTCACCGTGGGATGGATAAACATGATTATTGCAATCAGCATTGTCGTCCGCTTCCCAAGCCATCGACGCCACCATACTCGTCTGCCATCCGCCAGTCCTGTCCACTGTTCCTTGACCGCGTGCGACTTGTCAGGTTGCCAAGTCGCAGCCCTTGGCAGCATACGCACTGGTGCGTCTGACGCATCAGGCCACAATTGCTGCATTGTTGGATCCACTGAGATGGACGAATGACGGGAATCCGCCGTGAGGGAGCGAGGTATTGCGGTGCTATAGGTCCGCGCGCATACGCGCAGGTCTGCGCACCTGAATATATACACACACTCTAAGTCCGCGCGCATACGCGCAGGTCTGCGCACAGGGATATTCAATATACAAACACACTCCAAGTCCGCACGCGCATGCGCAGGTGTACGCACAGAGATATTCAGTGTATAAACATACTCCAAGTCCACGCGCACATACGCAGGTGTGCGCATAGGTGTGTATATACACTCTAAGTCCGCGCGCATACGCGCAGGTCTGCGCACAGAGATATTCAGTACACAAACACACTCCAAGTCCGCGCGCGCATGCGCAGGTGTGCGCACAGAGACATGCAGTGCACAGCTGTAGGATTGCTAGACAGCCCGCGTTCAAGCCTTTATTCTGCTTCAACTGGTACGGCAACATACTTCTTTCGGGTCTTCCAAAATAACCGCATTTCGGCCATTATAAATCTTTCTGATGTGCATCCAAACGCCGCCCGCTCGGTGAAGAGTGACAAACACAAAGAACATTATGATTAATGCTGGTCTGGTACAGGAATCGCTACTGCAACGTGTCCTCGATTCTGAACAGCAACTCTCGTGCCGCCTGCGAGTCTTCTCCTTTCAACACTCTTCTTTTTAGTGTCCATTCTCTTTTAATTTAACCAAAATTCCGTGATTTGTGAGTTTATTAGTCTGTCTTTTGAAAAATAATACAAAGCAAAGTATGCTACGACGTTTTCAAACGATTGTTAAATGTGTCTCCTGCAGGGCTACATACCTTAGCATGGACAAGTGGATTGATGTCTATCTAACTTTGGTTCAGACAGTGGGAGTTGTTTGCCCTCACGACGGGTGAAAATGTAGGGTCATTTGTTTTATGTACAAACATTCATCACATACACGCACTCCAAGTCCACACGTGTATGCGCAGGTGTGCGCACAGAGACATTCATGATAGCGCACAGAGAAACTCATGATATACACGCACTCCAACTCAACACGTGCATGGGCGACATTCATGATATACACGCACTCCAAGTCCACACGTGCATTCGCATGTGCATGCGCAGGTGTGCGCACAGAGACATTCACCATATACACACCCTCCAACTCCACACACGTGCATGCGCATGTGCATGCGCAGGTGTGCGCACACAGACATTCATGATATATACGCACTCCAACTCCACACGTGCATGCGCAGGTGTGCGCACACAGACATTCATCATACACGCATGCGCAGGTGTGCGCACACAGACATTCATGATGATATACACGCACTCCAAGTCCACACTTGCATGCGCAGGTTTGCGCACACAGACATTCATCATATACACACATACCAAGTCGACACGTGTATGCGCAGGTGCATGCGCAGGTGTGCGCACACAGACATTCATCCTATACACACACTCCAAGTCCGAACGTGCATGCGCAGGTGTGCGCACAGAGACATTCCTCATATGCACACACTCCAAGTCCAAACGTGCATGCGCAGGTGTGCGCACACAGACATTCATCAGATACACCCACTCCAAGTCCGAACGTGCTGCGCAGGTGTACGCACTGAGACATTCATCAGATACACACACTCCAAGTCCACGCGTGCATGCGCAGGTATGCGAATAGAGACATTCATCATATACACACACTCCAAGTCACATTCATCATCTACACACTCCAAGTCGACGCATGCATGCGCAGGTGTGCGCACAGAGATATTCATCATATACACCCACTTCAAGTCCCAACGTACATGTGCAGGTGTGCGCACACAGACATTCATCAGATACACACACACACACACACACTCCAAGTCCAAACGTACATGCGCAGGTGTGCGCACACAGACATTCATCCTATACACACACTCCAAGTCCAAACGTACATGCGCAGGTGTGCGCACACAGACATTCATCCTATACACACACTC